AAAAAAGAAATAAGTTTTGCCAGAGATATCAACATTAGATGGAATAGTACTTACAAATTGATTGCACAGATCCTAAGATATAAAGAGGAACTTGCTGAATTTTTTAGGGATGAACTTCGTATAATCATTAATCCTTTTGAATTTGTTATTGTTGAAAAATTGAATGCCGTATTAGAAGTTTTTAATAACGCAACTCTTACTTTTTCCCATGTTTACCAACCAACTACAAATACATTTTTTAAAGAGTGCATTACAATCGCAACATGTTTTCGTGAAAGTGTGGCTGATCGAGATTTGTACCCTTATGTCTCTCCTATGAGAGATAAATGGTGTACTTATTATTTGTACATTCCTGATATTTATAAAATAGGTATTATTTGTGATCCAAGATTTAAGATTGAAAAGTTTAAAATTCTAATTGAGTATTACTACAGTTGTTTTTTAGATAAAAATAGTTATTACTACAGCTATTTAGTAGAATGGAAAAATGAAAGAGATAATGCTATAACTCTTTTTGAGGATTTGTTTAAGGAATATCAAGGGTTATACAGTACTGTACAAGAAGAAACAGCACCACCTCCGCCCCCGAAATCAAAAAAAGGTTTTGCCGGCATAGTCGGTGGGCTTCTTGCAAAGAAAGGGAAACGTGCCCAGTCTTCGACGAGTTCAAGTGGTACAACAGTAAGCTCGCACAACGAACTTGCTATGTACCAGGGTGTGCCATGCGATTACGATGACGACGATGTCGATTTTGACGTGCTCGGATGGTGGAAGCGGAACGAACACATGTTCCCATGTCTCGGCATGCTAGCAAGACAAGTGTTGTCCGTCCCAGTATCAACCGTAGCAGTTGAACGAGAATTCAGTGCTGGCGGCAACATTCTAACCGACTACCGAAGTTGTCTTAACGCTGAATCTCTTGAAACACTGGTTTGCAACCAAGATTGGCTCTTGGCAAGACGTCGGGCTCAAGAGTCATCGTACCAACTCGAATCGGAGCATTACATGAATGCAACCACAGATGGAAGTCCGAGTTCTGAAGAATAAGTTATAAATTTTTTTT